TTAAATTGATATGTTTTATGGTCTTTGAGATGTTACAGTTTTTCTGAATGTGGTTAGTGTTATATCTCTACATATCAGTCCCTTTTTGCAGGTTGGAAGATACTGTTATTTGTTAGACTGATTAATCAAATAAGTTACCAACCTTAATTGAATACAATAATCTTATAGGGCAATTTATATATTTATTAATAAAAAAATAATAAGTGGACAAAAAACAAAAAAAAAAGGAGGGAGTGGACCAACATAGAAAGCACGTATTTACAAAATATGTTTTTTTGTATAATTTAATTAAAAAACGTATTCACTAAATATGTTTTTTACATTTTTTTTACAAAAGAATACGTTTTCCAAATAAATTTTTCAAAAACCGTATTCACAAAATACGGGCTTTCTATTTCTTTCCACCCCTTTTTTTTCTTTTTTTTGTCCACCACTTAACTTTTTTTTTTCCTTAAAAAATTCTAATCTTATAAACTAATTAAATAAATTATAAGTTAATTATAATAAATTATTGAACGTAATACTATATATTGTAAATTAATTAATTAAATTATAAGCTAATTATAATACTTATAACCAAACACAATTTATTGTTTGATTGCAAAAAACGAATGGCTAAAGACTAATACGAATCGAGTTGAACCATTCTTTGAATAGATGTTATGCGCACCTGTACATGATTGATGGGACAAAGATGTCACTCGGGCTCCCTCGACTCGGACGGCCACCGTACCTGCAAGAACTCAAAGTCCGGGACCCCAGGAGAGGTGCCCGACTTTGGGCCTCCGATATTGGATTCATATGAGAATGCATATAGAGAGAGAAGTAATGAAATGAGGAGAGAGTAAAATGAGTACCTTCTCCCCCTTTTTATAGGGAGAGTGTACCTTATGGTCCAAGTTGGGCTTGGCCTAGGTTGGGCTCGGCCCATATTATCATATCAAGCGTATTAGCCTGGTCGGGTACAACATTCTATATCAAATACTACCGATCGAACCAGCAGTACTAGCCGTGGTTATATCAATGATAGAAACATAACTCTCTTTAATTAACTTTGTTTTTGTTGGTTATTGCAACAAAGTCTATTATTTTTATTTTTTATTCAATTTATTATTATTATTATTATTATTATTATTATTATTATTATTATTATTCTTATTATTATTATTATAACCACAAAAGTTTTTTATTCAATTTATTATTATTATTATTATTATTATTATTACTATTATTATTATTATTATTATGGTTACCACAACAATTAATAAAACTCCTTTCGCTTTCCCTCCATTTTCCGTTACTTCAAAAAATTATTATTTTTTATCTATTTTATTATACAATTGTTACTATTAACTATTCATAAAGTCGCATTACATGTCACTCTTTTATAAAGATTTTTTCAAATTATTTATTTAAAATTATTTTTTTTTCAAGTCATTAAGTAAGTTTTTTATTTGTACACAATAGCTATAATAATAATTTCAATATTGTTTTATTCAATTAATTGGTCATATAAATGTTAATATATAAGTTAAATAGTTTATATTTATATCGTTATTACTAATGATAAAATATATAAAATGTGATATACTCATTATCTTAACTTTTGATTTTAATTATTAAATAAACACACGCCTAACCTAAAATTTTATTTGCAGTATTTGTGCATGTGTACAAGATGAAATACTAGTTAATATTATACTCTCAATTGGGCACACTCCTACAACTCAAAATTTTTATTTATTTATTTATTTTGTGTTTTGGGGATTTTTCTTATTTTTGGGAAGGAAAAGAATAAAACCAAAAATTTGAGTATAACATCAACGTTAAGTTCTAGAATTTAGAAGGACTTTGCTATGGAGCCATCGGATGACTCAATTTATGGAGTCATCCACAGTTATTCACAAATGGTGTATCGACAAGCGTCCTACAATAAATTAATACACATTGGACATGTGTCAGTACATAAAGTAATGAATGACTCTATAAGGGAGCCATCCGATGGCCCCATAGTATTTATATATATATGTGTGTGTTAAATATTGAAACAACTTTGTAATAATA